CTAAAGGCAGCCTTTTGTAAGTTCTTGACTGTAAAAGACGTTTTTCTCTCTTCCTACCCTCCCCGGATTTATTGAAGTATCATGGACAAATAAAATTGAGTGTATTTAAGGTGTATAACTTGGCATTCTGATATAAGTATACACTGTGAAATAATCGTCACAATCAAGCTACTAATATATTTATCAGTCACATTCTTAGTATTTTTTGTGTGTGACAATAACACTTAAGATCCACCCTCACTGCAAATTTCAAGTGTACAGTGCAGTATTGTTAACTATGATCACATTGCTGTACAAGAGATTTCTATAAATTATTCATCTTGTATAACTGAAACTTAATTCTCCCGATCAATATCTCCCTATTTCTCCCTCCCCCAATCTCTGGTAACCACCATTCTATGCTCTGTTATGAGTTTGACTATTTTAGATTCCACATGTAAGATCATGTAGTATTTCTCTTCTCTCTCTGGCTTTTTTTTACTTGGCATAATGTTCTTCAGGTTCACTCCCTGTTGTCACAAATGACAAGCTTCCTTTTTTCAAAAGACTTCCATATATATTTTTGTATCAACTGATGTCTTGAAAAATCAAAATAATGCATACTGAGCTTTCCAAAGTATAGGCCAATCCTTGAGTTCTATAATAAAAGAGGTTATCAAGAGACTAACCCTCTGGCTCTGATAGTACTGGGGACCAAATGTCAGGACAAAATAAAGGCAAAAGTTCTTCCAAATAGTGAATGCTTATGGGCAGAGTTCCTTTTTTCACTCAGTCCATTCATTTATTACGTTTAGAATTCTGTTAGGAAATTTCTTCTAAGAAAAGGGTTCCTGTACTTCACATAACTCATTCTCTTTCATTACAAACATACTAAGGCACTATTGCCAAGTCTCTCAATGTTTTAAAATTAGGTCACACACAAAATTTTAGGTTTAGGGCTCCTGGAAAGTAGCAGAGGCTCTTCACATTGTAGATAACTGGTGTTTGGGAGGTCTGGAATGAGGAGGGATTAGCCGTGGAAAATCCGCGGGTACATTTACTGAGGGAAGGCAGAGAGAGCAGAGGATCATGTTCTAGTGGTATGCCAGGTGGGAGAAGGGCTTTTAATTATAAAAAAGCATAGCTTTTCCTAATCTCCTTTTATGCCACTGACCTTCCAAAAGTGCCAAGAAGGGGCTAAGACATATATTACTTCATTATAAGATTAAGAACATAAAGCACAAGGAAAATAAGTGTCCACTCAAAATAAGCACATAAACCGAGTCCCTGAAAATCCTGAGATCTTTACCTCTAAGCTCCACTCATACATTACCCTGGGGAGCTCTACCTTTGGTTAGAGGTGGAATTATGATTTCTGAATAAATTTTCCAATACTCAGCACATTCCTATGTTTCAAACTTCAAATGATTTAAAGGGTCTATAGTAAAATTTTCTCTTCTATTTCTGTCTCTCAGTCAGTCTGTTCACCTTCCCAGAGGCAGTCAGTGTTACCAGTTTCTTGACGATCCTTCCAGAGATATTTAATACTTATGAGAGAAAATACAAATATACACACACAGCAATTTTCAAATTTTACACAAATGGTAGTACACCATAAACATTATTCTGTACCCAGTTTGTTTGACTTCATGTAAGTATATCACAGATAGCATTCCCTATCTGCAGTAAAGTTTTTATACGTGCTATTTGTATGCCACCAGTATCATTTATTTTTCCACTTTCAGGAGAACTATGTGGTGAATGGAAAGCACATAGGAACTAGTTCACTTACCAACTAGCTTTGAGATGGGGCAAGGCACCCAACTCTCTGAACCTTGGATTCTTCACTGAGCGATGCTAATAACGCCTTTCTCCCAAGTTCGTTGTGGCAATCGTATGAGCTTGAAATTGGGAGTCAGGCAGCCTGGCTAACTGAACACTTACATGATCCTGGGCATTTATTTGGTCTCTCTCAGCCTCAGTTTCGTTTGTACCACATGCACTTTCATGGATAACCACAAACAAAAAACCACAGACAAAAAAGTTCACTGATCATTAGAGTACTGTCTGAATTATCAAACAAGAAACACATTCACATAATCATCATATAGGTCAACTAATAATTACCAGAAACCCAGAAGCCCATACCTTGTGCTGTCTCTCAGTTACTATCCGCTCTCCAAAGGTAACATTACCCTGACTTCTAATGTCATAATACAACCTTGCAGGTTTTTGAATTTTATACAAATGGAATTCATAGGTATATATTTTTTGTTGTCTAGCTTCCTTTGCTCAACTTTTGGTTTGAGATTCATCCATATAGTTGAAATAGTAGTAGTTCTTCGTTGTCATTGCTCTGTTGCAAGAATTTGCCAGAAATTATATGTTCCCTTTACATAATGAACAAATATTGATGTGTTTTTGCATTGTTTTCAGTTTTTATTATAATGTTGTTCTAAACATTCTAGTGCATGTATGCATTCTGTTAAATTTATACCTAGGAGTAAAATTGCTGGAGTACAGAGTAAGCTTATGTCCAGAATACTCAGTAATTGTCAGTACAAGTCTAAAAGTTTCAATCAGGGATTATAGTTGCAAGCACCAGAAACCAATTCTGGCAGATTTAAGAAGAAAGGAATTTATTGAAAGATCACTTAGGCAAGGAGAAAGGAAAGCCAGGTGGGTGGAAACACAGCCAACATCAGGAGAACAATGTTTCAGTCATGCTATATATCAGACCTCATAGTTTGCACAGTCAACATTGAACTCTTGCCCACATACTCATAATGCTGTTACTGCTGGAAACAAATGCCTCTGTCTCAGCCTATTTGCATCCCTAGCTACTGATTCAAAGCCTGATGTGTGCACAGCTGATAGGCCAGGCCCAGGTTACATGTCCAGGCCATAGCTGCAAGGGAGCCTGGAAAAGTGATGTGTAAGGTAGGCACTTTCCAAACAGAAGAACAGAATAGGGTGCAGATATTGGTCATAAAAAACCTATTTCTAAGATTGACTATTTCTTCCTAAGTTAAATATCTGGAAAAAACACAAACAGGTATTGATCTCCTTCCATTAAGAAATAAAACAACAACCTAAGTTCAGCTCTTCAAAAATCAGAGGTTTTTTCCTTGACTATGTATTTAATAAATATGATATGAGTATTAATCTGAACATAAATTTGAGGTTTTAAAACAACTTTAAAAGATTTTATAGCTTTTAGAAAGCAGAAATCCAGTACTACATTATACCAGAGCCTTTTTCCTAATGAAGAAAAAATGCTCTCTTCCTCCATGTTTTATCATAGTTTTTTAAGTATGTGCATACGTGGCTTTACTCACCACCTCACTGAGGCAGACACTGCCTGGGAGTCACCTAGTTCTTGCCCCTAGACCACTTGGTACAAATTTAGAGCATCTAAGGCCAGTACTTTGCCCCTATATATTCCTTGGTTAACTTTTGAACAATAAGCCTGTTTTAGTCTCTCTTGTATCACCACCCTCTTAACATTCTCTGTATTCTTCTCATGGTTTTCACTACTGGCTCCATTCAACTGTGGAGCCTACTGAAAACTTCATTCCATTGTTACCAAAGTCCTATCCATCCTAAGTTTCTGAGGGGAAGAAAGCTCTCTCTCTTCTTGCCTTAATGATAATTAGCCCCTTCCTAAGCCCCCTACTTCCTCCCCTTTAGCTCATCTGAGCAGAGGCTGCCAGGTCTCCCATACAGTGAGCCTTGAATCCAAGAAGTGTGTTGGCATTTCAATGCATCTTCAAGGTTGCTTCTGCACAGTTTTCCCATCCTTTTGTAAAATCACATTCTCCTTGGAGATGCACCGCACTAGTATTCTACTCTCAGTCCCTCCTAATTGTGGCCAATCCACTTGCCACCTGGTTATCTATTCCCTCACCAACAAAGCCCGACTCCCAGTCTTCCTCTCCTAGGATAATTCTAAGAGATTTTAACGTTTATGGAGATATTTCATCCAACTTCATGGCTTTGTGATTCCTCTAGCTCCCCATTCAAAAGTTCATGACCTAAACATGGTCCTGGCTTAGAAACTGGTCCACTTTAGCTTCCCACTTTCTGACCACAACTTAATACTTTTTACCTTTCTCACTACCTTATTTGCACCTCGTAGCTTCACCTTGTTAAATTTAAAAATTTTCACACACAATGGTTTCCACACGTTTATGGTCTCCAAATGTGGGTGGCTTCCCAGTACACTTGCCAGTTATTTTACTTGGTCTTGGTCAGCTCTTTTCCATTCCCATCAACGCCTGTTCTAAAACTTACCCCAAGTTGTTCCTCCAAACAACTGCTGATTTCATTCTCAGCAGATGACCTTGCCTTTACATCAGTGGAAAAATTGAGGTCATCAGGGAGGTCTCACTCAATTTCTCTGTAAACATATCTATATTCATTGGTTTTTACTTTCTTTCCTTCACTTTAGAAGTCTGCAATGTCCCTTACCAATTCAAGGCCAACTCATGCCGGTAGCCCGACTCAATCTCCCTTTGTATCTGCCCCGTCCTTGCTCTGTCAGTCATCTCTTTCTCAGCTTCTTTATTGGATCCTCCTTCAGTCTCTAAACAACTGAAGACCTTTTCATTTGAAAAGACCCTTACACCTGTGTCCTATTCAACCACCATCCAGCTTCTTTCTGTTCTTCCATTTTCAGATCACTTGAAAGCACAGAAAAACTGGCTTTCTTGGGCTTTTCATATCAGTTTTACCCCTTGAGCTCCGAAACTTGCATTTCTCACTCCTCCACTAAACCTGTTTTCCCTAAGATACATAATGACCCAATTGCCAAGTCGAATATACATTTTCTAGCCTTATGTAACCAGAATTCACTCTGACACTGCTAATTGCTTTCTCCTTTCAAAGTGTAATCTTGGTTTTTTTTTCTGATTAAATAAACAGAATTTGTTCATTACTCTTTTAGTCTATCCAGGCAGCTGTAATGAAGTACCACGGTCTGGGTCACTTATATACAAAACAAATTCATTTCTTACCGTTCTAGAGACTGAAAGTCTGAGATCAAGGCGTCAGCATGGTCAGGTGAAGGCCCTCTTCCAGGCCCCAGACTTCTCACTGGATCCTCACGTGGCTACAGGGGGAGGGAGCACTCTGAAACCTCTTTTATAAAGCACTGATTACATTCATGAGGGCCCCACCCTTGGGACTTGAGCACCACCCAAATGCCCCACCTTCTTATACCATTACTTTGGGGGTTAGAATTTTAACATATGAATTTTGGAGGGACACAACATTCAGACCATAGCAATTGAAGAATATTTGGAAAATACAGGAAAGTACAAAGAAGAAAAATAATATCACCTGTAATGACACTAACCGGTGATAACCACTGTTAACATCTTGAAGTATATTCATGTACGTCAATAGATAGATATATGCAGGCACAATCTGTTCAGCAGCTTTTCTCTGCTTTTTACATAACATTATATTGGGCATATGTTCCTATATCCTTAAATATTTTTGAAAACGCTTATAACTGCTGCATAATATTCTATGAAACAGATGAATTGTCATATATTAGCCATTTCTCTATTAGCTATCTGACCTATATTTTTAATCTTTTCTATTATAAAGTTACTATAAACATCCTTAAACATAAGTCTTTGACAATTTCCTTGGAATTATTTCATTAGAATAAATTATTGAAAAAGAATTACTGGGTGCAAGGGTATAAGTATTTTCTAGGTTTTGCTGCACAATGTTGAACTGACTTCCAGGAAAGTGGTGGAGATTCACGTTCTCACTTGCAATGAATATAAGTGCTTGTTTTCCTTTTTTTGGTCTTAAAACTTTCTACTCTCTTTTCATTATAATGTCCTCTGTTCTATTTCCTCCATAATATCCTCTTCTAGTTCTCCTTGTACTTCTATTTTGTGAGGCTTTTGTCCTCTCTTTGGGAATTTATTTTCCCATAACTACCCCTCAAAGTTGATGTTCCCCATACTTATATTCTTAGTCCACTATCTTTCTCACTTTATTATTCCCTGGGGTTATTTATTTTACTCTAATAGTCTGAACTACTTCCACTAGGTAAAAGATTCCCAAATACAAGACACCAGACCTGGTCTCTCTTCTGAACTTTAGGCTCATGTATAGAGCCATCTATAGTGCATCTGTTTTTTGTTATCCAACAAATAACCCCAAACTGAACCTATCAAAAAGATGAGTTGGTAGTACAACCAGCCAAGGGGTCACCCAAAGTCACCTATTTACCTTTTCTCTCTTGGTCATCACCCACCACCCCTACCCCACCACAGCTCCCATCACAAGGAGAGAAGACTTTCAGCTTAATTGCCATGTACCTGAGTAGAGAACATGCTAAAGATACAAATATTTTTAAAATTTCTTATTCTTTTTCTTATTTCAGAGAGAAACCTTTGGTGAATTCTGTTATTGGTAGAAGCTAGTTAAGGCCAAAAGTGGGGCTGAAACTTCTATTTCTGACTTTTGTTCCAGAGTAATACTTTTTCCCTTGGAATGTATGTTCTAACCTATATGTCTAAGCTTTTAAAGAATCAGCAAACCATACAAGGATATTCAAAATATAAAATCATATTACCTTTAAGCTGAAAGGCACAGTAGAGACATCCAGTTGAATGCCATCGCTCTGTTTCTTAACAATCTGGAGGCCAGAGAGATTTCATGGCTTACTCAAAGATGCATGGTTAGTTAGTAACAGACATCACTAAAATCTCATTCTTATAACTCTTGTTCCAGTGTTTATTTCACTACATAAATATTTCTACATGTTTTTAACCCTTGTCCTGAGCAACTCTACAAGAAGATATCCATGCACAAGTAACTTTTGGAAAATCCTGCATAGCACACCTTTTAGAGAATAACAACCAGGGCTGCACTATGATATTTATGGGTTTGAGCCATTTGCCTTCATGGGCTACTTCCTCCATAGAAAGCTATTAAAATATATTTATGACTACATTGGCATAAATATTATTGTAATCCAGGGTGGATTCATTATTATGTTTTAATTTTTCTTATTTGAAAGGAAATTAAAATATTTGTGTGGGCTCCTACAAGTATCGTACATCAGTCCTGCTCATAATGCATAAGTAAAGACTCGCAGAAGTCTTGTGAAGAGAAAACGTATTTACTTTTGTTTTACGTATTATTTCCAAATTTTTTGCTCACAGGTTCCTATTAACATCTCAAAGATCACTAGTGTTGTATAAAACATGGTTTAGAAAAAAGTGTTCTGTGCTCTCCAACTGCAGGGATACTTTGCAGAAAGGTAGATAGTGATAACAAAATCAAGTTACTCTTCTTGGTTGTGGTTGAGATCTCGGAATTAGCTGTAAAATACTCATAAAAGCCTCTTCAAGATGTTTTATAGAGCAAGCAAGCACATCAAATGTTCACATATGGTTCACATTAACGTATGGAATAGTTGACAATTATATTTCATTAACACATCTTTCTCGTACATGGGAATGGCAATACACCATTAACTCGTGCTTTTGCTTCTTAAACTAATCAACTAAAATTAGATGTCTATAAAACTCGATTCCCAACTCATTTTCAGAAGATCGATAATAGAAATTTCATGAATGAGAAATCAGTGTTTACTGCGTATGGTGACTACTTTAAAATGTGGCTGCATTCTCTATGCTTTTATGATTCTTTTGACACATTGATATGGAACAATCAATTGGTATCTCATGTCTATAACAACTGTTAATATTCCCCTTAAGAAGAAGAGTTTCTTATGAGTATCATCATGGAAACCTGGGACATTATCTGAGGTCTGTAATAAGAACTATGCCTGAGATTCCAGAGAAACATCTCTTTTCTCAAGGGTCTAAGTTAGTTGGTGAAGAAACAGATGTCATTTTAGGAGCTATATACATTCTCTATAGTTAGGTTCAGTTCAGTAACATTCACTGAGTGCCTTCTGTGTGTCAGGTACTAGGCACAAATGAAATACAGCCCCATGGGTAAAGAGCTCAAATCTAGTATGTATACAGCAAGTTTTAATACCGTGTGGTGGGAGGTATGCACAGGATGTTATGGAAGCATATGGGGGCAGCAAAGGGAGATGCTGGGTAGGCACCTAGCCCAACCAGTGTAAAAAGGAAAGAGAGAAAAAAGATGAGGCGGTAAACAGGCTTACTGAGGAATGAAAGAGGAGCAAAGGACAGGAAACAATGCCTAAAGAAAACAGTTTGAAAAATGGGATGCACTTTGTTTCAGTTTCCAAATAAATTAAGTAGAACAATTTTGGAACAGGCAGGCAGCAAAGTTTCATGTTATATTTAAAGAATAAATTTGAAATTGTAGAGATGAGAGAGGCAAAGAGCTGTTACATGAGAGACTATTTGCTTGTTTTTATAGCAAGGGAAGGCTATGAAGTCTAAAAATCAGAGTTAGAAATTTACAACAATCACATCTCTTCCAGATGTATACTTTTATAGAGATCCTATGATATACTGGCAGGTAATGAGTCAGGATAGGATAACCTTATGCCACAGGAACAAACAAACAAACAAAAAATCTCAGTAGTTTAACACAAAATTTAGATTTCACTCACCAAGTCTGCGGTGGGTCTAGAGATTCTCCAAAGTAAACAATTCCATGAGATGACCAGAGGTGCAGGCTGTTTTGATCTTTCATCTCCATCAACTCAACATGATATCTCCTCCACATTTGCTGTGGGAAAGGAAGGAAATACTAGAAGGTCAAACACTGGCTATGAAACACTTTGGTCTGGAAGTGACACCTAATGTTTCTCACAATACTGGCCAGACCTAATTACATGGTTTGCCAACGCGTAATACTTCTCTGTATTTGTAGGAGAGGAAAACTGGGTTAGGAAGAACACAGATGACTCTATCGCAACAGTCTTTAGATAGAAATGCCTTTTTGTGAGCTCAAAGACTTAACTCCCTGAATCAATAATAGTTGATTGGTATTCTTTTCAAAAATATTTTAAAGAATAATAGAGTCAGAGTGTTTAAATTTTCCATATGGATTTTGAAGCAGCTAATTAACTGGTTATGTATAATTTTCAGTATAAAATCTTTAACTGCTTTTAGGAAGTAACCACATACTTATCAGAAAGCTAAGGTCAATAGCCACTATGAATATTTAAACTTTCTAGAGTAACAGAATAGTCAGTATTGTTTTTTATGGTAGTCAAGCTTTCTCAAAGTGGAGCACTCTCATTAAGATTAACTGTGGTACCTGCTAAGAATGAAGATTTCTAGCCCCACCTACAGAATGAGACTCTCTGGAGGTAAGAAACTACAAGCTTTCCTTGGAATTATTATACATACTGATGTTCGAGAATCTTTGACCCAGAGGAAGTAGATGGCCAATGCTGGGGAAAGGAAACAATGGACTTTCTTGAAACCTAATTGTGGAGCAGAGCTTGCCTTGAGACTTGCCTAGTTGAAGGCAAGAAGTAGTTCTGAATTAACTCATGTTAGTCCTGGTTAGAAGAAATCTCAACAAGCAGGACCCTCCTGGGAGCATCCCAGCTGTCTATTCAGCAGGGAAGACCTACCATGCTCTGACCTAGTTTGAGCACAGAGCTAATTCAAGAATCATGCTTTTCACTTTGATGTTTTTATTTTCACCTCTTGTTTTTTCTGAGTATCTCCATCTAGTGTTATTGCTTTAAATATCTTCTAGATGTTAACTCTGCAAATATACCTCTCTAGACAGATCCTCTTTTCTAACTCCAGACTATTGCCCACTCAACATCTCCATTCTGATATGGCTAGTAGACTTTTCAAAGTTAACATGTCTAAAACTGATCCTTAGTGATCTTCCTCTAAACGTCTCCTCCCATGGACTGACTCCTCCATCTCAGTTTATGGCAACTTCATTTTTTGTTGATTCAGGCCAAAGTTCTTAGAGTTATCCTTGACTTCCCTTTCTCCCACATATACCATCAAAATCTCCTAACAAATGCTCTTAACTTTGTTTTGAAAATATACCCAGGTTCTGATCATTTCTCATTCATCCCCACTGTTATTACTTCAGCCTTAGTCCCCAGCATCTATTATCTGGCTTATTGCAAAAGCCACCTAAATGGTCTGTTTCTTTCTTAAATCCCCTTTAGTCTGTTCTCAACATGGCAGCCAACATGACTCTTTTAAAATATTATGACAGATCATAACCACTCTTGTGCTTGGAATCCTCTAAAAGGTTCCCCACATCACTCAGAGGGAAAAGAAATCAAAATTCTAACAATGCTCTGCATGCATGATCTGGCCTTTCTTTCCAACCTTATCTCCTATGTGTTTCCCTTTTCATTCATTTCAGATACACTAAACTTTTTTATTTTCTTTAACACACCAGTCCTGGTCTCTCCTTTGTACCTGCTCTTTCACCTGTCTGGATAATTTTTCTGGGATATTTTCAGGTCACCCTTCAGATCTTTGTTCAAAGGGCATCTTCTCAATGCAGATATAGTGATAAATGATAAGGAGAAAGAGAGGGATACAATGTTCTGGGTTGGAAGCAGAGTGGTCCACTGTAGCTAAACTGTCACCCTCCTCCCAATCTAGCACATTATATCCCCTTTCTTTCACTTTAGCACTTATCATAAAATACACAGTGTATTTTAATTTATATCTCGTTTATTATCTTCTTTCTACATTAGTTTGTAAAGGTTTATGAAAGCAAGCTTTTTATCTGTTTTGTACACTGATGTATTGCAGCATCTAGCACATCTAGTCATTCAACAAACATTTCTTGAAAGAACAAATGAATATTTATCTTCTAATGACAACCAGTCCTTGGTACATATTGTTCTGATACCCATATTTTATTGAAGTTTTGTGACCTTCTATTTCTCCCAGCTTACTATATATCTTAAAACTTTTCCCCCAAAATTGTTAAGTGGTAAAGAATAACTCAAAGGAAAATGACACAAAGTGGGCATGATGACCAGTGCTTTGGACCCAAGAGGAGAAAATTCCAGGAAAACAAGTCAGAGTAAAAGGAATGGGGCAAAAACTTTTTGCAAATACAGAGGTATGTAGCTGCAGTAGGCAGCCTCTAAAATGGCTTCCAATGATCCTTGCTTCCTTGTATTCAAGAGAAATCTCCTTCCCTTCAATTTGGTTTTGACCTAGTGACTTACTTCTAACAAACAGAATATAGCAAAAGTAATGGCATGTCATTTCCAAGATTTGGCTACAAAATGACCTAGTTTCCATGTTGCTTAGCCTCTCTTGTTCTCTCTCACTTTCTCACTCTGATGAAGCAAAATGCCATGTCATCAGGTGTTCTATGGAAAGATCCATAATATGGCAAGGAACTAAGGAAAGCCTCCACCAATAGCCAGCCTGATTCAGCCTTCAGTCTGATTGCCCGTGAGAGGTCAATTCTTCCAACAACTAGAGTGAGCTTGGAAGCATACACCTCTCTTTTGGAGCCTTGAGATGACTGCTGCCCTGGCCAATACCTTGGTTGACTACAGTCTGAGAGACCCTGAGCCAGAGGACCCAGCTAAGCTATTCCTAGTTTTCTGAGCCACAGAAACTATGAGATAATTAATGTTTGCTATTTCAAACCATAATTTTGGGGGGTAATTTGTTACTCAGCCATAAATAACAAATACAATAGTCATAGAGTAAAATGTACAATTGCATATAAGAGTATCTTTTCAAGGAAACATGAATTATTGGTGATAAATGGTAAATTTCAAAGAACTACATTCATAGTAGCATTTATCAAACTGGTTGTAATTATTCCTCCATTCCACAAATATTTTATTTAGAACCAGCTGAGTGACAGGCAGAACTCAAGATGGAAAAAGTATTTACTTTAATAGTTTATAATCCAGTGTAAGGTGAGAGTGATGAGGACAAACATCAAGTCAAGATAGAAATGATTAATAATTCTAGACAAAATAAAACTGAGTTACAATATGTAGACAGACTGGCCATTGGAAGGCCTCTTGGAATTTGTAACCACTGAGTTGAATGCTGACTGATGAGAAAACTGTGGCCATGGGAAAAATCCGTGGGCAGAAGGAATGGCCAAATGCTAATCTGAGAAAAAGAAGAGTGTGCAGTGAGGCAGTGAGGGGTTGGATCATGTAGTGTGTTTGGATTTTATTCTAAAGGTAGTAGAAAGTCTTTAAAGAGTTTAACAGGGAGTAAAAGATTCCATTTTAAATGTTTAGATGGTTATTCTGGGTTTTGTATAAAAAATGGACTGTGGTGAACAGGAGGTTAGGGAAAGAAAGTTAGGAGACAGTATGGGGTTAGTTATTTTATTGGCAATGGAGCACTGAGTCAACAAGTCTTTGCATGAGGGGAGACTATGAGACTGAGACCATGGCAGATTCACAAGTGGGTCTTATTTCCTGTCAGTATAATCTGAATGATTGGCAAATTGGTTTCTGCACAGTGATGTTAGGGGAATAAAAAGAAGTCACATTTGCAAGCAACTCATTTGTTCTTAGGACAGGGTCAAGTTTACTTCTATTAATCAAAGGAACGTTTCAAGATATATTAGACTTGGTGTTCTGTGCAAGGAACAACTCCTCACTGCTCAAGAAGAAAATGCAACTTTGATGCTTTTAAAACAGCTGTTAACATTTTTGTGTGTGTGTGTTCATAAGTAAGATTTTTATGACCTTGAAGACTAGCTTCACAGCACTATAAACCAATTAAATGTTAAACACAGTGTCTCTTAACCTTGGTAATAAGTATTCCACATAGAAATGACTCTTCAATTCCCTTTATGCTAATTAGAGCTCTAAGTAAAAAACAAATTACAAGTAGAGATATACTCAGTTGATTGGCCTTACAACTGCCATGAAAAAGAAAGAAAATGATAAAATGTGTCATGGGATGGGAAAGTTGAAATGCTTACAGCTGTTACTTTGACAAACTGCTAGCTTGATGCTGACTCATAGTCTAAAGGGCTATGGAAAACTGGGACAAAAGAGGTGAAGTAGGAAGTGGGTACAAACTTTCCAAATCACTATGAGTTCTTCTAGTATTATAAAAACAATATAAGTCTGGTAACATGACTTTATTGCAAGTTTAGCATTCAAGGGGACCACTGAGAATAAAATAGGCCATTACTACAACTGCATCTTTGTATGAATGTGTGTATTAGTTACCTAAGGTTGCTGTAACAAACTACCACACATTTGGATTAAAGCAGCAGTAATGTATTCTCTCATAGTGCTGGAGGCCAGAAATCTAAAATCAAAGGGTCAACAGGGTTGATGCCCTCTGCAGACACTGAAAAGAGAAACTGTTCCATGCCACTGTCATAGTTTCTGATGGCACTGGCAATATTCAGTATGTTCTTTGGCTTGTAGAAACATCACTCCCATCTCTGCCCCTGTCTTCACAAGGCTTTCTTGCCTGTATCTTTCCAAGTCTCAAATCTCTCTCTCCTTTCTGGCTCTCACTGCCTTGTGCTACAGGTTGGGGGGTGGATTTGTGGGAGTAATGAATTTGAAATGAGCCCAGAACTTTCTGTTCTCCTTAACAATGGCCTAACCACAAAGGAAACTGTTTTGCCAGAGCCTAATCCATTTAGATTTTACCACAGCCTAACTGATCTAGGGGAAGGGAAATACTCAACTCCAGGTCCCTGTAGTCTTACTATCTCATCTAAGTCATTCCTATACTTTGTATCTTCACTGCTAAAATTGACTATGAGTCCTGAAATAAGGAGTCTAAA